TTGGATGGGGCAAAATGTATCACCTCAGTATTGTGTTGTGCTAAGAGGCATGGATTTGGGTGTCAGACCTAGATTCAGATTCTGACTCTGCCCCTTTCTAGTGTGAGGGTTTGGGCGGAGCTTGAACCTCTGAGAATCTCATTTCTTGATCTATGAAATGGGAGGGGTAATATCTGCCTCACAGGGCTGTGAAAGGATCAAACGAGGGAGAGTATACGTCTTAGCCAGGAACCTCTTGGAAACGAAATGTAAGTCAAGGATTAAACTGCTGATGCTTTATTTGAGTGCTTCTAGCCCAGGGCAGTGAGGGTGAGGAAAAGGGGGAGTGGAGCGTCATAGGTGGAAACAGACTCTGAGACGACGACTTGGTTCCTGAGTGTTCTTTGGGAGCACCCTAGGGAGTAAAGTCTCTAAGCGGGTGGCAGAGGAAGGCGGGGAGAAGCTGAGCTGCATCGGAAGTCTCAGCGCGTCTCAGGAAGCTCTGGGCTTTGGATGGGCCTTTACAGTCGTGCCACACTGACACAGAGTATGGGTATGGGTCTGTGTACTCCTTCAAGTCCCAGTCGTTGGATGCGGCTTGGGGGAGAGGGTGACAAAACCTGGGGTGGGACAGTTGATTTTCCCCAGCGGTATGCAGCTTGATGGCGGCTGTAAGACTGGGGGCTTTGATCCGATAGCGAGGGTGTGACATGGTGAGCTCCGGCAGCCCTGGCCACTGCTTCACATCACGTCCCATAGCAACTTCACCTAGCGTGGCCTGTGTGCCTGCTTTCCTTAGTCACACAGGTGTCCCCGCGGTTTGCAAGGAGACCTCTCAAAGCAGCACGTGGAAGAGAGAAAAAAGGGAAATGTATTTGCATGGTTCTCTTCTGTCTCCCATTTCCCACTGGTCAAGGTTTACCCCCATGCCTCGTGGCTCTTAGGAAGCCAGATTCCGTGCTCTGCACTCTAGAATTTCATCCACAAAGGGCACACTAATCAGGAGACAGAAAGAAGGAAATCGTTGAGGGGATTTAAGAAAGCATGAAAGACACATTCAGTTGAGAAGATAAAGCAGGTAGCCCAGGACCCAACTTAAAGGAAATGTTCTTTAATGGAGCACCTTACGATGTGCCAGCCATTACTCTGAGTGCTTGACCCAGATTAATCTATTTGATCCTCACAATAGCTTGGTGAAGCAGATGATACTGATACTGCATTTGCACTTTGCAGATGAGGATATTGAGGCTCAAAGATGAAACAGCCAGTAAGTAGCACAGCAGAGATTCTATAACCAGGGGTCATTTCAGAGTCTGTGTTGTCTAACTGCTCTATTATATTGCCTCCAAGTGGCTATTATTATTTTTATTATTATTATCATTATTAGAATATGTAAATATTTTATTATCATTCTAAAAAGTGTTAGCAAAATATATTCAAATATGTAAAACGCTTTACAAAATTTTCAGTAATTTTTACCTTTATTTTTAAACTAATATCACAAAATGTTTTGTATACATAAAAACTGATGCAGAAAGTCTTGGAACCTATCCAAATTTCTTTAACTATACAGAAGAAAACAGGATCATAAAGTAAAAGAAAATATGTGTGAGTCATTGACTAAGAATATCTTCTGCATGGTATTTCTTGTATAAGGATGACTATAGCCTGATATGGAGTTAGAGAATCTGCAAATCTACGGATTCTAATTCCATTCCTGCCATTGACTGATTCATTATTCAGACTAGGTTATTTGATCTCTTTATGTGTTTCCATATTTGTAAAATAGAGTATAGAGTTATACCTATAAAGTTGTACCTGTCCCATAAATATCACAGGGGTTTTTTTGAGGATAGAAATAAAACAATACACCTGAAATAAACAAACATATTCATAACAACCTGAAACTCTCTGAGAAAATGTTTTAAGTGTTTTAAAAGCATTCAAAAAATTGCTGGATTAAAAAATAGGTAAATTTTATATTTTTGTAGGGAACCCTAGTTACGATGGGTATCCATCATTTAATCTTTAATGGGCTCATAATTTTTGCTGTATCCTTTACACTAAACCATAGCCTCATCTGTATTGCTATAACAAAAGCATGTAATTCAAGGATAAATAATTTATTCAGCGTCTTCTACTTGGTCATTTAACAAAGAATATTTAACATAAATATGATTGTGGTATTCAGTACAACTGTATACTTTCAATAAGGCAATAAATAAGCTAGGAACATAAGAATGATTTTTTCAATAGTTGTATGAATTTATTAATAATTTTTGTGTTTTGAAATTATCCCAGATTATTTTTTCTAGTGTTTTGTGAAGTTTCTTGAATTTATTTTTAGGGCTTTCCAATTCCTTCTAGGCTTACTCTGTGTTTTCTTTATATACTGGAAACTGACATTCTTGTACACCTCTCTGTTTCCGTTCTCCTTGTCAAACTCCCCAAGTACACATTGTTTTAATTTTACATTTCCATAGCCTGAAAATGGACTGTTTTTACTACTTCAAATAATTTCCACCCCTGATTTTGTATCCAGGTCCTGTTTATGTCTTGGTACCTTACCTGTTCATCTATGTGTTCAATTTTATTGGGCCTTTTTTCTTTCTTATGTCAGATCTCTTTGTAGATGTGTTTTTTAATTTTTGTGATTGCTCAGAAAATTACTCTGCTTATCTTTGGAGTAACATAAAATTGGATACATGCATATCTGAGTAATTATCCTTACCGTGGCAATTCATTGGTTATTTTCAACTATCTTAAAGACTTCTAAGAGGAATTGTAGAAGATATATTTATTTTTTTATATAATATCAAAAGTAAAGATTAAAATTCATAATGTATCCACTTTTTTGTGTAACATATGATTGTTATATTTTCCTGGTAAGAATTCTCATTTATTCATATGTAACTGTCTTGAAATTTGTACCTTAAGGACAAAGAAAGGTCACCAGTCCCTCTAACTCCTGGTTCTTTGTCAAAAATGGACACAGTTAATGAGGTTTGTTTGGTACAGAACAAATTCTCAGACACAGATAGAGATCCTTTCAATGGAAACAAATTTGTTTGGCTTTACCAGGTTACTTAGCGATTAATAATAGCCTTGAGATGCAGGTCAGAAAGGTCATTGTGCCAGCTTGCCGGCACAATCTAAATGTGCAGCCAACCCCACTCTGTGGGTGCAGAAGCCCCCAAAACACTATGCATAAAGTAAAACAGGCTATTTTCTGATTCCTTTTTTCATATTAATAAGCAATTTTCAAGAGAAGGATGGCAAAATGAGGGCCATGCCACTCCAAGTAATTCATTTATTTTGCAATTTAATCTTATGTTGAAAAAAAGTAGGTCTGCTGCAATAGCATAGCATGGTGATTTTTAAACGTCAGTGTGTTTCATAAGTAACCTTGTAGGGAGTATTGTATTAGCCTTTAACAGAAAATTGCAACAAAAATATTTCTAGTCATTGAAGTAGAAGTGAGAATCTTTTTTTTTTTTTTTGGAATTTCCCCCTCTACTTTCCCTTGCTATCTTTGAGGGATGCGCTCTGATGATTTTGCTTGGTACTTAAAGAACTAGACACTAAGTTACATTATCTATTTTTTAAAAGAATAAAGTATCATTTCCAGACATTATTTTAACATGAGTAATTAAACTTGTTCTATGAAAATAAAGGATGTATTCTTTGTAATTTGATAATGTCTTATTCTATTTAGCAGGTATTTTTCACACAGTATATATTAAGAGCTTTTTTTGTTTAAATTTCTTAGATACACACATATTGCTGATGAAAAGTTTCATTATTTTAATGGAATTTGTTATACTTAGAAAGTTGTGATCTTATGCACCCAATTCAGGTTTTAGTCTAAGTTTTGATATAATTGAACAAAATGTCACCCTTTCATGTACAGGATAATATGTCACCTTGTTGATACTATTTGAACTGTTAACTGAAAAAAACTTAGAATAAATTAAGGAGATGTGTAAAAACCCATGACACTTTTTAAATTGGCCTATTAGTATATAAAATAATTAGAGGTTTGTAAATACAAAATTTAAAGGAAATCAGTCACTCAGATGTTTTCTTAGGACATTAAAGTATGTCCAAAATAGTCACCCTTCAGTCAAAGTGCAGTAATTCTCTTACTTTGCATTTGATAGATTTCCTTAGCTATTGAACTAATTGTAAGTAGCATTTGATTTTCAAAATTTAACCACTGAAAAATCACTTAATGCTGTTTGAAGATTACAAAGATTCACCTAGAAGGTGCCAGTAAGATCGATTACAGCAGTGATTTTGATGGATGTGGATGATGGTTGCTTCTCAAAAACTTACTCGCTTCTCATCAGTGACTTTGGTATCATGAATAACTGCACACTGTTCCGCTGCAGGGAGGCACTGGAGGAGTTTGCAGAGATGAAGGAAAGAGAGGAGAAGAAAGCCGACCTCGAAAGGGAAGAGAAGAAAAGAGATTACCAAGCCCGAAAGACGCATTACCTCCTGAGCACAAAGCAGGTCGGTCTACCTGTCCCTGACGGCTCGTGTCAGCTGCTTGGGTCCCCAGCCTGAC